TCAGGGATGAGTCCCAGGAACCTGGGGACTCATGAAAAATAGCAAAAGATACTCCTACCTCTCAGAAGATTCCAAAGATTTGGGGAATTCCCTGACTGGAATGGGATAAAAATCAAATATTTGCCTTGTGTTACAGAACAGGAGACAAGATTCAGAAAGATTATAAATCCAAGTCAGATCATAGGTCAGCAGAACTAAGAGTCAGGTCTCTTTGACTTCCCTACTATACTAGATCCAACTGAAACAATGGGAAAATCTTATTTCTTAGATTTCTGCTCTTTCCACAATTGTATTTCTTCTGTATTTGTCAAGAATAATTATTAGAAAAAAAGGTATGAGTTATTAAAATCAATAACTTCTATAAATACATTTTCATTAAGCTAAAAAGCCCACCAAATTAACTTTTATCAGTGCACCAATTTAATGACCCTAGACTTGTGTTATCCAAACTAGGACCCACTAGCCATGTGACTTGAAATGTAGACAGTCTGAATTGAGAAATGCTGAACATAGCATAAGACACACACCAGATTTTTAATTAGTATGAAAAAAGAAACTATCTCAATAATTTTGTATTGATTGCAATTTTTAGAAGGAGGGCAATACAAAGATCTATGGGAATAAAGGGGAAGAAGGAGCTCAAGAGAGGTGAGACCATAGCAGACAGAAATTATCAAGGGTGAAATGGGGAAAATGGGACACTTTAAATGGAGAGGGTGGGGAGGGGAGATAAGACAGGGAGAGAAAGAGGAGAGATAAATAATGCCCAGCTAGTATAAAAAACCAGAGGGAACTGTATTAGTCCAAAAACCTACAGAAAAATTACACATACAATATCCCTACATGAATCCGTGAGTATACCTGAAGACTACATGCTAAGAAACAGTGACAGACAGGAGAAACCTTCCCCCGAGTTGTGGGCCAGACTCCCCAAATTTAAATTATATTTTAAACAGTGTTATTTACAGATAGATATAACATTTTACAGCTTCTAAACAATACTGCTGTGTGTTTTCTTTGAGCCTCACAACTATGAACTCGGCTAGGCAAGAAAAAAAATGAGCTATTGACCTGCTAGTACCAAGTGCCTAGGGCTTTCAACTTTTACCAGCCCATGAATAAGTAGAATGCTTATATTGAACAGTAAATCAATGTAGAGTTCCTAGTGATTAGTCAGACATTCTTAACTCCAGTGCCAGGAGAATCTGATGCCCTCTTCTGACCTCCACAGGCATTGTACGACATGGGTGCACTTAGAGACATGAAGGCAATACACTCAGACACATAAAATAAAATGAAAAATAAATAGGGCTGGAGAGATGGCTCAGTGATTAAGAGCACTGGCTGTTCTTGCAGAAGACTGGGGTTTGAATCCCAGCACCCACACAGTGGCTAACAACCATCCATAACTCCAGTTCCAGGAGATCTGAGGCCCTCTTCTGTCCTCTGTGAGCACTGCAGGACACAGGTGCATGTATGTAGGCATAACACTCATACACATAAAAATTAACTAATTAATTAATTAAAAATAATAATAAAGGAGGAAAAGGACAATAATATAACAAAAAGGATGGATGGTTAGGTTAGAGGGAATATGGGGAGGGATAATTAATGCTAAGGGCCTTTTGAAAACCCACTAGTGTAGAAGCACTCTAAAATATATTCATATTCATATATAGTTTCAATGGAGTTGCCCTATAATGGGGGGAGGGTGGACAAAGGGACAATATTGTAGCTAAACACCTTATCCTAGCAAATAAAAACTCCAGTACCTGAAATGGGCTACCTTTCTTTGAGTTGCTGGCCAGAGGGATCCCAAAGACCCCCCAAACATTACAGGCTATTGCCACTGCTCTTGGTTACCCTCCAGAGTTTCATGATATGACTCTACTGCTGAAGACAACACATACTTGAGTCAAAAAACATGGAGAAATCAAGTGGATACTGACCTGGAAGCATCATTCCTACTGGCTAGCTTTCATAGTGCTAGACGGTGCTATGCCCACTACTGGAGGAGAAAAGTAATCATAAATCTTACCCCATAAGTTACAATAAATGGTCTAGCAAAATAGTCCCACTAGTGCCATAGTGGCACGAATGTTATGGGAGTATCCAACCACTCTCAGATTGGAGTTAAGGTTCACACCAAGCAATGGAACCCATACTTGGTACCATTATTAGGGCCAAGAACCTGTGGCTACATAGAACATGGGCCCTAGAATATTAGAACCTATTACTACTAATATTCTACTAAATGGACATAGTAGTAAAATGACTCCTAATGACTTATTGCTATACTTATAGATGAGTGCATCTCTCAACCCTCATCATCAGAGAAGCTTCTTGAAGTTGAAGATGATCACCACAGAGACCCACAACTGGTCAATGTGCAGAGAATAAGAGACTGTGGAGTGCTCAGCCCTAAATGGGGCATCTCTATCACATCCCTCCCACAAGGCTCAGGGATCTTCTCAGAATGGGAGGGGATATATGGAGAAACTGGAGTACAGTTCAGTGGTAGACCATTTCCTAGCATATATGAAGACCTGGGTTTGATCCCTACCAGAGAAAACATTTATTCTCTCTCTCTCCCCACCCCCCCAAACCCATATGTACATATACAGTATGTATGCATCATGTGTACCAACCTCTCTATAAAATCAGGGTTTGTCCCTGAATAAGACCCAGCAGCAAACAGCATCATAAGGCTTAGCATCCAACCACGTCTTATAAGACTTAGGATAAAGAAAATTGCAACTACAAGAAGCCATCTTTAGTTGCCTTGTTTTTTGGGAGGGGGGTGTTTTGGGGGGGGTTGGTCTTTTTTGTTATTTTCTGGGGTTTTTTTGGAGCTGAGGACCAAACCCAGGGCCTTGTGCTTTCTAGGCCAGTGCTCTACCACTGAGCTAAATCCCCAACCCCAAGAAGCCATCTTTAAAAATGTCCTTAGAACATGCACTATTGGGCCTGGCATGGTGGTTCACACCTGTTATCCCAGTACTCAGGGGGCTGGTGCAGGAGAATGGCAAGTTCAAGGCCAGACTGGGCTACACAGAAATACCCTGTCACAAAATTGAAAAGAAAACATTACAGTTTCATGCACCACAAGAATGTGCTAAGGATGACCTCCATTCTGCAGTCTTTACTGCTTTCTTTCTGATGTCACACACAATGCATTTCCAGCAAAAGCAGATGATAGGAAAACCTCTTAAAAGCCAGCATCGGTCCCCCTCTCTTGTCACTGAGCCATGTGAATGATCACTCCCTTTATATTATGGCCTGGAGTAAGAAAGTCATTAAGGGCAGAGAGCCCTTTGGTCCACCCACGCCTATGCTAATGTGTTACCTATGGCAACTTTCCACTCCAAGCAGCACTTCATTTTGTATTTATCACACAGTCATTTCAAATATTTCATGGATATTTAACACAATAAATAAACAGATTTTGAATGTGCATATATGGTATATATCTTGATGTAAAAAGAATGTGTTCCTAAAGGAATCCCTGCAAAATGCGCTCACCCTGGAACAAAGATGCCCAACTGTTGGGGAACCCTGCTGCTAGGGTTGTAGTCCTCCATGTCCGGATAGCTCTAAGGGGCTGGGCACTATATGGAAGGACTCCCCTTCTCAGCAAGGGGCCTCCTGTTCACTTCCTGACTTACCTGGAAAGTGCCACCAAGCATGGATGCCTGACCTTATTTGGAACATGACCTTTGGCATAGTTACCTGGAGTAAAAACTACCCCCAGGTTTTTCTATATGATAATTAGGCATTGCCGGGATAGTGGGATGATAGGAGCCTACTGCCACATGTAAATAAAGCATACTATGAGCACTGATCAGCTAAAGCATTGGCTACTGCCTCCACACTATATTTTCCCTAACTCCCACTGAATAAATGGAGCTGTTTCACTGAATCTAGAGCTGTTTCACTGGAGCTGTTTGCATCGTTGAACCTGTCTCCAGGGAAGGGCTTTCTTCCGTCAGTGCTCACTGGCCATCCTGACCCCATTCGTCGTTTCTGTTCCCTTTGTCCTTGAGGACCGGTGGCCAACGACACACGAGGGAAGGGAGAGGCCCCACACCCAACCATCATTCATTTCTGTTTGCTTTTTCTGAATAGTTTTAACATTTCTTTTTTCATATTTTTTTTTATGTGCATGCGTGTATTGCCTGCATGTAGGTAAGTGCACCCATGTCTGCAATGCCCATGGAAGACAGAAAAGTGTCGGATCCCCTGAACTGGAGCTACACGGTTGTTAGCTGCCATGTGGGTGCTGGGATTCAAACCCAGCTCTTCTTTACCAGTCAGTGTTCTTAACCGCTAAGCCATCTCTCCAGCCCCAAGCTTTAACATTTCTTAAATTAGTCAAAAAAATAAAAGGCAACCATTACTACTAGATAGCAGTTAACTAATAGATTAGCGATCTAATGTGTGTTACATTATTCAAACTTTTCAGTGCTATCTAGTAAGTACTATAATAAAATGGTTAATTTTCTAAGTTAATTATTAACACTCCAGAGTTTGGGGTGATGGTACCCCTGGTTTAGCCACAGCTTATTGAACGGCTGAAGAGCAAATCACTTGAGCTCAAGTTCCCAGCCAGCCTGGGCACCAGAAAGACCTCACCCCTTAAAAAAAATAATACGAGTACACAGCTGAAGAAAGCCATCAGAATGCAGTATGTATTTGTTTGAAATTGTCAAAGAACTAGTTTAGGGCAAAATAATAATAAAAGTAAAATTCAACCATGCTCATTGAGCACTCAGTAACTCTTAACAGGACACCTAAAGTTGACACCCTTTGAGCCCTAAGAACAACAAAAGGAAAAACAGATTGTTGCCTTTCTGTCCCCTTAGGCGTCAGCAAACTTCCCTTCCACCGGTGGAGACCCAGTTCTCCATCCATCCACTACCACTGGAGTCGCCCTTCCCAGCCCGCCCGAGCCGCTAGAAGCTGCACCGCAGTGTGAACGGTGAGCTGAACCTATTGCGTACCCGCTTCCGCACCGAGCCGCGTGGTCCCGGACGGGCGCCCGAAGCTGTCCTCCGCGAGCCGCGTCTTCACTCGTCTGCGCTGGTAGCGAGCGTCCCAAGCCGCACGGCCTGTGCTGGCCGCAGCTGGCCCCGGGGAGGGCCGGGAGGAGGGGCGGGGAGGAGGGGAGGAGGGGAGGGGCCGCGAGCTTCCCGCCAGCCCAGGCGCTGGGCCGGGTGGGCGGAAGGCGTGGCGCCAGCTGCGGCGCTCGATAGGCACGGGGTCTTGGGCCTGGTCTCACGGAGTCGAGTCGGCTGGAGCGCTCGGGTCACTCTCTCGGGCGAAACGCCCGAGCGGCTCTGGGCTGGGCGATGCCTTCACCCGGGTCTGGACGCAGCTACCGCGCATCCGGAGCTCTCGGGACCGACTTGTCGCACGCTTCCTCGAGAGCATTAGATGGTTTCTGCAGAATGCACGGAGAAACCGAATCTGTGAGGTGGAGGCTTGAATGAAAGTAGTACTGTGGGAGACGTGAAGGCTCACATTGCAGTAGTTGAGTTCTTTGAAGCCACGTTCTGAGGGCGTGGAACCGCTGGGACCTAGCAGATGCAGGAAAAGTGTTATCAGGGCCCCACGTCTGCCCTCGCAAATCAACACCCGCGTGAGAGTATTCTCAAGGTCTTTCATTTTCACGCACAACCATAGTATGGAGTGCTCAAATGGACACTGGGAATTAGTTACAATTCTTTATCCAATACAGGTTTTAGCTAAGAAATGAACATTTTTAAATATCAGAGTGTAAACTTTTGCAGAACTTTAAAGTTATATATTCCATGATACACCTAAACGTTTGGGGGAAATTCTTTGGGGTTCATGTCTATCAGCTTAAAGACACGTAAGAGGAGACCCTGTGTGTAGAGAAATGAGTACCTCCCAGCCGGCCAGCCTAGACACGGGGGTGGGGGGAGGGGTGCAGAAGCAGAAGCTTGCACTCCGCTGGCTAACCTATGGACCCACCTGCGGGAGGGAGGCCCCGTCGGACTTCAGACATGCCCTACAATATAGCCTTACATAACCTTCAAGAGCTAAGCACAGCCTCTTTCCCTTAGCCTTTCTGAGCTTGGAGAAGCCAAGAGATCCTGAGCTTGCGGCTTATGCAAGCAAGCAACTGTGACCCATGTCCCTTGGTGTGGACTTCCCGGGTTTATGGAGATGGGATGGATGACTTCCTGGTGAGAGAAATGGGGGGGGGGGCTCCTAAAGGTTTCTTTAGGGACTTCATCAGGCAGCTGGAAAGACTTCTGTTATGCAGATGTGCAGAAGAATAGAATAGCGAATAGGGGTGTTGAAGGTCTCAGAAAAGAAAATGCATAAACTGAGGGGACCCCAAATTCATCTCTCCTGAAGGTGAAACTTCAGGCAATTCTGAAAGGACCAGCTATAGTGACTGTTACCAGGAAATTGTGATTCTTTTGGGGATTCTTTGTCTCCTTAATTAAAGACTTTAAAAAACAGATCCAGATGGAAGCTCAGGACAACTTCATTAGAATTTGAGAGAAAAACAACAGTGTGGGCAAGCTGAAAAATCTCCGCAGCTGTCAGGAAGAGGGAAATGGAAAAAAAGAGAGAAAGTCACGTCTTTTGCAGTGGAGGTCACCAAGCAGCCATATTCAAGAAGGAAGGGTCAGTGGAGTGAGAAATCCCAAGGTGTCTGGAAAAGCATGCTCAAGCTTTGGCCAGCATCTGAAAGAAGAAGAAAGAAAATGGGAAGGGGGTAGCTTAACAGTGCTGCCACAGGGAAACTGTAGGTAACTGTACTGAGGGAGCGTCTGGGAAGGATAAGTACACTCTCTCATTAAGGGAACAATTATTCCTCCCATCTCCTGACCAAGACATCAGGTAAATGGCCAGGTGATTGACAGACCCAGCCGGATTAACTCTTAAAGCAGGAGACAAGAGTATGTAAAATTCTGATCTTTGGAGCAGATGAGAAGGCCATGTCTCCATCCAGACATGATTGGTTCTTTTGACAAGCAAGAACTAAGTTGACCTCAGCAGGCCCTGAAACCTCCACCTTTTCATATGGTATTTTAAATCTTAAGGCGTGACAAACCTGATATTTACTTTTGTAGTGTTACCAGGGACATGGGAAGTGGAGTCCAAAGTCAACCATAAGGGAAAGGACCATCTTCAAGGCCTCCAAACCCTATGATGCCTGTCCAGCCACCTAATGACAATTTCATTTGCTGTGAAACAAAGCAGGAGTTCTCCACACTGCTTCTCTAATCTCAATACATAATGATACATACAGGTGATGCTGGGGTTTTTTTAAGATCCTTTTGCTGCTTTGAGCTCAGAATGTACATCCCAGATTGATGTTGAATATCTTGAGAATGTTTTACTTTTTTTAATTTTTAATTATATGTATATATGTACATGTGGGTATTTGGTGCTCTCAGAGGCCAGAGGGTTATCATTTTATAAGTGGAGTTAGGAACCTGTAAGCTCATAATGAACTTATAGCAATGGTGACAGCATGCACAAGACTCATGCAAACTCAAGCAGACAAAAACCTAGCATAGAACTGTAGAAATGGGCAACAGGCCCCAATCTATCTTAGCTGAAGAACTATTGGGCAGCTGATTGCTACTGGGTGAGGAAGAACTAATTTTTTTTAAGGGAGTGACTCTAGATAGGCTGACTAGACCCCAGTGGGTGAACTTGCACTGAGGGATGTCTGGGGACACTAACTTGACTCAATAGGCCTTAACATAAATGACAGAATGCATGAAATTCAGTGCGGGGGGCGGGGCTGCCGAGTGGGAAGGGGATATAAAGAAGACTAAGATGCTGTATATGAAATACACAAAAATTCAATAAAAAATATATTTTAAAAAAAGAAGTTACAGGTGGTTGTGAGTCATCAGATGTGGGTGCTGGGAATCCAACTCAGGTGTTCTGCAAGAGCAGTATGCAAACTCTTAACTACTAAGCCATCTCACCTACCTATTTTTTTCTCTAAAAAAAAATATTATTCTTAGGAACTTAAAAAAAAGTTTAGTTAAGGGGAAAAGTGCATGATTGATTTCTACAAGGGCCATATTAGTTATGAAAAATATTAAACTACAAAAATTATGGTTTGGGTTCAGAAACAAGTTTGTATCATTTCCATCAATAAAGTAGGATGAAACCAGTGCTGTGTCTGTGTGACGCTGTGCTTTGGACAACAATAGCTACTATGGCTAAGTACATAAAATACACATACACACAATTTTTTGTCACTGGGGGTCCCTTTTGTAGATCTTGATCTTGTTAATAATTTAAAAATAAGCTCAGAAGGGCACTCAGGATGACTTTATTAGAGTTAGAGAAAATAACAGGACAGGCAAACTGGAGAGCTCTGAAACTATCAAGAAGAGGGAGGTGGAAAAAAGGGAAAATGTTACTTATGCTTTTTGAGTTAGAAATAAAGAAAATGGGCAGGTTCAGCAGTGGAAGTCTACAGAGCCCTAAGTTGGGACAGGCGATCTTCAGAGAAAGTGAGAGTTCTTGCTCTCTCTAAAGTTCCCCAAATGTCAGGTCAAGCATATAACCACCCTGACAGGAATAAATTATTCTAGAATGACACCAGAGACCCTCCCTTTGGCTTTCAGACAATTGAAACAGTGGTCCTTGTGAATTTCCCCAGGAAGGAGTCTCATGCTGGGAGTAGGAAAAGGCTGAAGCCTGGTGCCAGCCAGAGAGGAAAGAGATTTCCCGCAGTACTGATTTGTCAGACCACCTTGCAGGAGAGTCTGAGTCCCAAACAAAGTTGAGTCAGTTCCGTGAGGAGCAAGACCACACTTTGACCCAGACTGCTGAGTTATACTTCCCTTTTTCTATTTAAACATAAACTTCATGTCAGTATCCCGAAGGTGGGCCTGAGGGAATCACTATACCTGATTTTTCTTTCTCTTCCCAATGTGGTTTTATTAAATTTCTTTTCTCTGTTTTTCACTATTACTTGTTTCTTTAATTGCCTATTGGCCAAACCTGGCTTGTGAAGGATGCCAGGACCCAGGTTTTGACCCTAACCACTCCAGTAACAAGTAGGCTTAGGATTCCTCCAGGTCCAGAGGAAGAAAGGTGGGAAGACTTGGGAAGGGAGGAAGCTACTTTTCTGAGTTAACTCAGAAAGGGACGATAACTAAAAAAAATGGTGGGCAATGTCTAGGCAAAGAAAATACCAGCTGTCTATATCAACAAGCTTTGTGTAAAGGGGCTGCTGACCAGCAACCAGGTTATTGGTATCAGGGGATGTCAGTATGCTGGTATTAATATGTTCCAAAGGGGTAAAGGCACCTGCTCTCTACATCAGAAAGATGTTATCAGCCATGGATCATGGTATTTGTGTGAGAGAACACTAACATAGATATTCCTATGTCCCAGTTGCCTGCAGACGGCCCTTTTATTTCCTTTATTCTTGCACTATTTGTACAAGGCCAAGTTAGGAGATTGGCAACCTTAGCCTCTACCCTTCACCCCAGGACCTTTCCTTTATGTTACCTAAAAAGTACAAACCACCCAGTGTTTACGAGGTCCAATACCGGGATTCCTGCTGAATGAGTATATATTAGTTGCAAGGAGCTGGGGAAAACCCATTACATTACTTGATACCCATTCTAGTGCCAGACTTCCAAGGTTCCAGGTTTCCAATGGGGCTTCTCATAGGACTGAGAGCATTTGGGTTGACATTTATATTGTATACAAGTATGTTTATCTTCAATACCTCTTCAACTTAAGGAAAATAAAATGGTAGTAGACAGCAGTCAGTAAAATATTTCTCCAATGGTTCTATTTACAACTACCAGAGACTTCTGGTATACTTGGTAAAAGTTCTCTATAATGGTTCAAGTAATGACAGGTAAGTAAAGGAAGGGAAACAATTTAAAGTACTCCCAAAAGTTTTACCATTAAAGGAAGGTCAGGGAGATTGGCATGTCTACCTAGAATGTGTTCTGAGATTCAAACAAAATACTTAGTTGGTTTGACTTAGATAGTTCCAAACATGTGTGCAGGCCAAGAGGCCCAGCCATAAAGAAGACAGACAGGGCAGGTCCCTTAGTGCTGCACTTTGGATCAGGAATGTGGTCTATGTGTCTTAAAGGCTTTGCCCTCTGTTTAGTGCTATCAAG